AATATGATTGTGCAGTGTGCCAGCATGTTCAGGATTAAGATAGTGTGTGACTACAAAGATCAGGATAGACGATGGTTCAGGAACCGAATCCTGAATAATGTAAACCTTTATGTCTTAGAATGAAAATTTCAATGACTTGCCACGAACAACAATAACTTGCAACTGCATAACGCCTTCAACGTAGTAAACGTGGCAAGATGCTTTACACAGCGTCTCATGGCATAGTTTGACACTGAAATCAAGGACAAGATAACGATAAAAAACCTGGGCCAAAGATGGATGAGGCCTTGAATTAACAGGAGGAGACAATTCAGCCCATCAGTCCTGCACCACCATTTAATAAGATCAAGGCTGATCTATCACAAACCTCAACTTCTCTTTTGTGTCAGTTCTTCATTGTTAATCACCCACTGGTATTTCAAAATGCCATCCATCTCCTCTTTAAATACTTTCAGTGATCCAGCCTCCCCAACTCTCTGGAATAGGAAATTCCAGACATTCATTAATGTCTGAAAGAAGAAATATCTTCACATCTTAGTTAAAGTGTTAGGAGCCAACAACTGAAAGCTAAGTCCCATTGTTCTTGATTCATACAGCGGTGGAAACATCTTCTCAATATCAACCCATCAAGCCCCCTCTGAATCATGACTTTGAATAAGATCATCCATCATTATTCCAAACTTTAATGCATTAAGATCTAATCTGTAACTCTTGAGGAGATGAAACCTTCATCTCAGGAATCAGCCTCGTGAATCTCTATTAAACTGCCTTCAATTCCAGTACATTCTCTCTTAAGTATGGGATCAAAACTGTACGCTGTACTCCAGGTGCAATCTCGCCAACACCATCATAGTTAGAACAAGACTTCTGTTTTGAATAAAATTTTCCAGCCCCTTCACAATAAAAGCAAAAATTCCATTTGCAGTTGTAATTACTTGCTGCACTTTTATGCAATTTTGAGTTTCATGCAGAAGAATACCCGCACCCCTTTATGATCCACTGTTTTTGCAGTCTCCCTTCATTTAAATAATGAACAGGAATCTTGATTCTTCAGACCAAATGACGACACTTTCTCTGACATTGAACTGCGTCAGCAAGGTATGTGCCCAGTCATTTAATCTATCTATATCTCATTAGAGATTGTTTATGATCTCATCACAACATACCCTACCACAGTTTTTTTTTGTATAAACAGCTACATTGCTTTCTGCCCCTTGCAAGTTATTCATATAGATCATGAATAATTGAGAATCTAGGGCATCCACCATATCCACCTCATCAAACAAATATATATTGTCCATCACCGAACACTGGCATTGATGTTGATATACTGGAAGATGATGGATACGTCACCCACTCCTGCCTGGAAAGTTCCGGGTCATAGAATCTGAAAGAAACTGCGATCCCAGCAGTCACTGGCAGCAGAGACCTCACTCTGCTGTGAAACTGCAGGTTGTGTTGAAGAAGGTGACACCGCTCTGCGAACACCTCCTTGTTCAATCAGTGTCCCCTCACTCTCAGCTCCTGGGTTAAATGTAGGTTGGGAAGCTGCTCTTGAAAAACCGGGGTGGATACAGCAGATCCCTTTCCACACATACACTCACTGCGTGGTTTCACAGCTTCCCCTCTCTGCAGCCTCTGCTCCATTTGTTGTTCATGTTACAGACCCAGATGCTATAAAGACTGTCCCATGTTCCGTCCAGAGTTGGGTCACAGCACAATCTCCAGCAAATCATCCCCAGCACCTCCAGTAAATTTACAGGGACAGGGGTCTGTCAGAAGTCCCTGAGCTACAATTTGGGTCCCCTGGTCTTTTAAAACAATATTTGAGGAGCTTCCTCATGTTATTGAACGCATGATAACTGAGAGGGACAAACACAGACATCCAGTGGACAGGCACGGACCAAGTTTCAAAAATATGTATTAATGGTGTTGAAACCCCCTTGCAACATTGAGCAGCACTTGTGACACACCGGGAAGTGAACAACAGGCTGACACACACCATTTCATTGTTTCTGAGCTTCTCATTGCTGGTACTCGATACATGAGGGAGCCAAAATCCAAGGCCAGGGAAAGAGTAAATGAAAGGTCATGGAGAGCAGGTAGGGAAGTGGAACTGAGGCTGAGATAACATCTGTAACTAATGCTCTGTAACTAAGTTTGGCGATGACACTAAGATAAGCAGGAAATTACATTATCAAGAGAAGGTGGAGAGACTGCAAATGGATATAAACAGGTTAAATCAATGGATTATCGTTTGGCAGTTGGAATATAATGTGACTGAATGTGAACCTGTCAGTTCTTTTCAGGAAGAACTATTTCAGACATCGCTGCAGTTTTGCAACATCTGCTCTCTGAAGTTCCTAGTGGTTCCATTGCTTTCAGTACACACGAGATATTTTGACGTGGTTGTTTGGCAGTAATGTGTTGTGAGGGGTAGGGTGTTTTTAAACTGTGTATCAGGGGGGTGGACTTTATCTGAGAAGCCATTCATTCTTTCTATTTGGAGACCCGAAGACGATGGGAACAGCTGATTGCTTCTGAAAGAAGAGGCTGTAGCTGCTGCTAGAACAGTGGGTATTCCCCAAATTGCTGGACTGTGCACGGTGGCATTTCAATATTAATGGAGTAAGTGTTCCTTCAGTTACCCTACCTTGCCAAGGGATCCTGTAGAGCCATAGACACCATTGGAAATCCTGCTATACTGGGAAAACAAGGAGACACCAGGTACCTCCCCGCTGAGGGAGAAAACATTGTTTTCACCTCATTCACCATTTATATCCTCCGTCACTGAATTGTGACATTGATGTTGACATGCAGGGAAATGATGGAAATGTCACCCACTTCTGTCTGAAAAGTTTTGGATCATAGAATCTGAATGAAACTGAGATTCCAACAGTCATTGGCAGCATCATCCTCACCCTGGTGTGAAGCTGCAGTTCGTTTTGAAGGAGATGGCACCACTCTGTGACCAGCTCCTTGTTCAATCAGGGACCCCTCACACTCAGCTCCCGGGTTTAGTGGGACTTCGGAAGCTGTGCTTGAAAAACTGTGGAGGGTATGGCAGATCTCTTTCCCCACATACACTCACTCCGTGGTTTCAGACCTTCCTCTGTCTGCAGTCTCTGCTCCATTTGTTGTTCATGTTGCAGACCCAGTTACTGTACCTATAGTCCCCATGCTCCGTCCAGAGTTGGGTCATCAAGTCCTCAGGTCTCCCTGAATTTCTGAAGCAGCTCAAAGCACAACCTCCAGAAAACCATCCCTAGCACCTCCACTAAATTTACAAGAACAGGAATCAGTCAGAAGCCCCTGAGCAAAAGTTAGGTCCCCTGGTCTTTATAACAATATTTGACAGGCTTCCTCGTGTTACTGACTGCATGATCAGCTGAGAGTGATGAACACAGGGGCTCAATGACAGGCACAGAGCAAGTTTCAAAGACCTGTCTCGGAGCTGCTGAAACCACCTGTCCAGCATTGAGCACCACTTGTGACACACCGGGAAGTGAACAACAGCCTGACATGCACCATTTCATTGATTCTGACCTGCACACTGCCAGTACTTGACACATTAGGGTGCCAAAAACCAAGGCCAGGGGAAGAGGCGGAGAGTCAGAAAGTTTTGAATTGAAGATGGAAACAGACAATTAACTAACTGAGAATATGTTGTGGAAATATGGGGAAGAAGACAGGGGAGTGGGACTAACTGGAGCAGCGAGACCTTGGAAGGTCCAATCTCAAGAATCACAAAATTGAATAAAGGTATTGCCAGAGCAGTTGAAGTGGTTTGTTACATCAAATTTTGAATATGCCTCACAGAACTACCACATACTCCAGAAACTGGGACAAGAAAGCAGCCCAGCATGAAGGGCTGTGCAGACTATGCCAGTGTATGTTAGTGTGCTGTAAGCTCAGTTCACTGGACTATCTTCCTAGGATGGTGACCATACCTAATCTTTGCTGGTGTATTGGTACTATTCTTGCAATAAATAACTGCCTAGCCTGGGGAAATTTGCAGCTCATGCTGTGAGTGTCAGTACATGGGGCTCTCACAAATGTATGTCTCGATGTCTCCATTGTTCAAGGCAAGGAGTTGTGTGTGTTTGTGTGTGTGTGAGAGAGAGACAGAGAGAGAAATGGGGGGTGGGGAGGGTTGGTGTTACATGTGAAATCGTTGTTTGAGAGACACCACGCATGGAGGAAATCAGGTTAAATATGAAAAAAACTGGCGGGGGTTTGGTTAATTTACAGAGAGACTGAGGGATGTTTCATGAACAGATGTGATGACGTGCTTGAGAATATTAGAATAAAGGCATTGTCAGACCCATTAACAATATAGATGAGTGCACGCAGGAATGATAGATGGATGGGATATTTGTGTGAGATCAGACATGAGCCGTGGAGTATTGACTAAGATTTTTTTTATGCAGACTTGAAGCTGTGAGTTTCAGCAGCAGACAATTGGTATCATTAAGATTTTATCTCATTGCTGAAGGTTCAAATAATAGATGGGATGAGTCGGTGAAGTATATTCTGGATTGTTAGTGATTAAAATTAAGAATGGACAGGTAAGCTGTCAAGAATCAGCTCATGGCCAAAGGGATCACCACAGTTATGAACCATCTGTTTCAGCCTCAAATATTGGCCAGAGACGGGATGGAGTCAGAGAGACGAATGGAGTGTGTAACCAGAACAGAAGACAGTGACCTCCATGCTCCCAATATTTAAATACCACGGAGAGTGATGCAATGAGTGGTGGTTCGCAGCTGAAACCGAGTGGGTCAACATAGAGAGACCCGTGAGGGACACTGCCAGAAGCAAAGAGCGAGAGCGTGAATGAACAAGTTCACTGATACAATTAATAGCAGTTTGTAGAGTTAATATCTGGATTCAGACTTTAGCAGGAAAAATAACAGTGGAAAGGAGTATAGAGTAAATTAGAAAATAGTAATGCAGTTACACATGGTTTATAGAAATGATAACTTCAGAGTTAGACTAACCAGGGACACCAAGGATAGCCAGGAAAGGATAATAAAAATATTGAATAATGTAAAGTGCATATAGGATCCGCAGTGATAATGACCATTGATCATAATATGTAGAAAGGTACCCAACATCCTGGGATAAACTCCTGTCCATTGTTGTAACATTCCAGTCTGACGTTCTTAGATTCTGATCCATTATTGGAACTTTCCAGTCTATTGCTCTCAGATTCTGATATCTCCTGCCCCTCTGTCCGGAGTTGCAGATCCTTGTTAATACTGTAGGTGATTCTGCCACTCATATTATGAGATAACACATTGAAGGGAGCCCTTTTATCATTAAAAGATGGAAAACTTCCACTGGGATAATTAGACTCGATAGGGACTGACATTAAGCACAGTCACTGAACGAACATGTTCTGTTAACCTATTCCTTACATCACTTTTCATATCACAATGAAAGGGAACATTTACTCCTTCTGAATGGAATATATGAGCGTTGCTCATAAACCTTTCAATCTTTTTAATCTTTCTTCCTTGTATGTGGGGGTGGTGCCAGAATACTGCAGGGTGGTATATGTTCCCCTGTTTATAAAAGGAGACAAGGATAAAATAACAAACCAGCTGCATAAAATGCCTGGTGGGGAAATTTGTAGAGATCGTAAACCAGGGTAACAAAATTCATTTTTCATTAACTGTGTGTAATGCCGCCCCTATTGTTAGGTGCCCTGTTATCAAATTGTTCCTTAACATTGAGACATCATTTAGAGCATTGGGACTGCTGCTCAGGAACAGGAGGAAGACCCATGTGCCTGTTACAGAGGGATAAGCAGCATCCATTCAGCACACACTAGCCTATTACCACTTTAAGAGGTGGAAAGCTGGCATGTTGGCAAGTTTGCAAAAAGAGTCATTCAAAACAAAGAGAGATGTTACTGCAGCTGTACTACAGCTGTCTTGCTGAGTGGACACCTGCAGTACATTGTGTTGTTTGTGTTTCTGTAACTGAGAAGGGACGGTCCTCCAGCATGTGCAGTTTAATGGCTGCTCATAATCCATGAGTTGGTGTGTCATTTAATGCCTCGAGCCTGTTACAGATGGACAGGAAGAAATCATTCAGCCTCTTGAGTCAGTTACACAGGAACAGGAGGAAGCCATTCAGCCTCTTCAGTATGTAAAGAGGTCCGGAGCTGAGTTGCCCTGGCGGAACCCAAACTGGGCGTCATTGACCAAGTTATTTCTGAGCAGGTGCTGCTTGATAGCACTGTTGATGACACCTTCCATCACTTTACTGATTATTGAGGGTAGACTGACGGGGTGGTCTTTGGCCAGGTTGGATTTGTCCTGCCTTTTATGCACAGGACATACTTGGGCAATTTTCCACATTGTCGGGTAGATACCAGTGTTATAACTGTACTGCAACAGCTTGGCTAGGGGAGTGGCAGGTTCTAGAGCACAAGTCTTCAGTAGTTTTGCTGGAATGTTGTCAGGGGCCGTAGCCTTTGCAGTATCCATTGTCTCCAAACGCTTTTTGATATCACGGGGAGTGAATCGAATTAGTTGAAGACTGGTACCTGTAATACTGGGGACCATTGCAGGAGGCTGAGATGGATCATCCACTCAGCACCTCTGGCTGAAGTGAAATGATAAACAGAAAAGTACGGTTCTTGGAGTACGGTCTGACCTCTGGGTTATGGGCCCAGTGCACTCCCACTGTGACCCTCTGCTAGTATAAGAGAAACACAAATAAATAAATTACTCAGTGACAAGATCTGAAGAAATGAATTCTGTTTAGTAAAATCTGAGAATGAAAAGCACTTGTGAAGAATTGTCTTCCAGACTTGGGGAGAGTGCAGAGTTCTGTTCCCCGGAGTCAGTATTGTAACTAACTCTCTTCTAGACAGATACTATTGACCCACATTTGTGCACAGAGCGGACAGTTTCAAAATCCTAAATGAGGCAAAGTTCACACTAAATAATGCAGAAATCACAGAAACTGGTATTTTACAAAAGAAAGGGTCTGGTTACTTAACATCGCTCTCTGTCATTTTCCTGAGCCTGATGCTTCAAAAATCACTGGCATTTCACATGTACGTATTCTTGCAATCTTAATAGATCCCTTACTGCGTTATTCTCGTATATGTTAAGAGTCAAAAAAAAAGCCAGGAGTTACAGTCTTTTCTGAGACTCGGTACAGTTTTAGATGGGGTCGCTACAGCCACAACACAGACCCCTGACCACAATGTAAACACAGTGACATTAAGTAATCCCCACACAAAGCAGCTAATGAATATTGTGTTAGAGACCGTGCCAGGAGCAGTACCAGACACACAACAGGAAGACTCGCTAAACAACAGACTGAGATGAAGGAGCTTGCAGTTGCGAAAATCTTTGGAATTCGGGCTTCAGAAGTCATGAGGCATCAGCATTGAGTCTGTACAAGACCGAGATTGATAGATTTCTACAGATTAAAACACATCAAGATCTCAGGGGATAGTGCAGAAAAATAGCATTGCAGTAGAAGGCCCTTCGTGATCTCATTGAATGGTGAGGGGGGCTTGAAGGGCTGAATGGCAGCATCACACTCCTTACATTCTAAAATAAAAGCATTCTTTCTTAACTTCACTTGACAAATGTATTTCATATTCAGGTCGAAATGATATAACTTTGCTGGTGTACAGTTTTGGATATATTTTCAAGAAACAATCTAATTTAACATCGGCTTTGTCAGTAGTTTCCTCACACAAGGAATTAACTATTGCTGCAAAAGATCATATAATCTCCATTCACAGGCTCAGGATCAGAGAAAACCTGCTCCATCATTCTGTACCTGCAGGGCAAATCTGAATCTAACCCTAAATCCCTTTGCCCGTCCATGTCTGACAAGTTTTAACCCAATCTTTCTCCATCTGCCTTAAATACATCATGGACTCTGCAGGATGCAGTGGAGTTTTACATGGATTTGCCAGGATTCGATCAAATAGAGGAATGACTGGTTAGTCTGGGACTGTTCTCACCGGAACAAATGAAGCAGAGGGGAGATTTATTATCATATAATAGCATTTCCAAGCGTTCAGTATTCTTTGTGGCCTAGGCAGTGTAGTTATGGACAGGTGGTTTCCCCAAGTATGAGAGTCTTTGAACAGGCGGCATAATCTCAGAATAGGGTATTGACGATTTATTTCAGATATTAGGAGGATTTTTGATCGCTCAGGGGTGAGTAAGTCAGTTGAATTCTTCCCTACAGATGGCTGTTGAGACTATGTTGTTGGTATTTTAAACCTGAGCTAGACCATCAGGGTTTATCCAGGTCAGTCAGGAGAATGGAGTTGAAGGTTATCAGATCAGCCATGACCTCATTGAATGGTGGAGCAGACTGGATGGGCTGAATGGCCTACTTCTGTTCCCGCATCATTTGCTCCATGGTTTCATTTGATGGATGTGCTCAAAATTGTGAGGAGATTGGATAAAGTGATAGAAAGGTCCATTCATCTGAGCAGACAGATCAGTAACAAGGCTCATAAACTCACAAAATTCAAATGTACTGTGCTGCAGACAGCAACTAGTACTCTATATACCACAGATATCTTGTTCGCTGGATACTTGCACAGGCTGTGATTGCTCAAGACAACTGGTGAACCTTCTAGAACCGGCAACGCAGTGATCATGCAGGATGATGGATCACTGTATGACCCAAACACAACAGAAGGGGATGTAACATGAATGAAAGATACATAAAGTATCTTTTTTCTTTGTTTCGTTGGAGAAGTCTTCTGCTGTTCCACTGTGATTGACTCGTCACTGGTTTAATAAAAACCGTTTCAAATATTGAACAAACTCTTTTGTCGAATTTATTTTAAAATACACATGAACAATCCCACAAGTTTAACCTGTGCTCCTCTCTCTCATTATCTGTTTTTCCTGTTTCTCTTTTATTCAATGTAAGTCCGTGGCAAGTCAAGTTGGAAGGAATGATGGGCACGGAAATCATGTTTCTTACCATTCACCCAATTCAATCTACATTTCAATAAAACCGAGGCGACAGGTTCCAATTCTTGATTTAGACTTAATTATGTTGCTGAGTATTCGAGACTCTTTGGTCAGTTAGACTGACAAGAATTGGTTTCCAGCTCAGTTCTGTACAAAATGCGTAAGATGCAACAGAAAGAATTGCGGGAAACAATGACTAGAGTGAGATTCAAACCCACGTGGGCAAAGCACAATGGATTAGTGGTCCATCGGCTTAAACTCTCAGCTATCTTGTCACAGATGCAAAGTTTGCATCACGTGATCATGTTTCTCTCACTTTTCCAAACAGTTGAGTGAATTGTGCAGCGCAACAGATACTTCTCCTGGTGTGAGTGAAATGATGAACAGTAGAGTACGGTTCTCAGGGTATGCTGTGAACATTGGGTTATGGGACCAGCACGCTCTCACTGTGACACTCTGCTCGCGTAAGTGAAAGGCAAATAAAGAAATTGCTCAGGGACAAGATCAGTTGAAACAAATTCTGTGAAGCATTGAAACCGATGGAATGAAAAACTCTGTGACAGCGGGGATGTAACATCGTCTAATATAGAAGCATGGAAGACAGGAGCAGGACGAGGTCATTCGGCCCTTCGAGCCTGCTCTGCCATTCTTCACGATCATGGCTGATTGTCCAATTCAATAGCCTAATTCTGCTTTCTCCCCATAACCTTTGAACCCATTCACCCCAAATGCTATTTCTAGTCGCCTCTGTAAGGAATTGCTTTCCAGACTCAAGGAGAATGCACAGTGCTGTTCCCAGGATTCAGTATTGAATCGACCTCTCTTCCGAACGTCCCACATGTGTGTTCAAAGAGGTTCAATTTCAAACTCCTAAATAGGCAAAACTGACAAATGAAAAAAGTAATGCAGAATGCCACAGAATCCAGCATCGTCCAACGAAGTCTGTTTCAGTTAACATTGCTCTTTGTCAATTTCCTGAGCATGATGCTTCAAGAATCGCTGGTCAATGTTAATAAAAGCTGCTCTGGGTAAGCCTTGATTTCGCAGACTCGGTATTTCACACACCTGTCTCTGTGAGTCTTCTTGCAATATTAGTTGATCCCTTACTGTGTTACTTTAGCGCATGTTAAGAGGAAAAGACGGGACTAACAGTCACAGCCGTGACTTGGAGTCGAGTGGAGGTTGCTACCACTACAACACAGAGTACTA